TATTGATTCTCTGTAATCAGAGTTTCGTTTATTCACAGAAGAAAGAGATTCATAATTGATTCACTTCATTAGCTATTTGCTTCAACTTAAAATCTTACCAACTTTACGTAAATTTAAAAAATCCAATAATGTATAAAGTGCATATAATAAACAGAATTATTTAAGTATCCAAAGTGCACAATCATTATAATATTCAGCGGATATAAAAAATTGCTACTTTGGCTCAATTTCTTTAATTCTGTTCATAAAAACACGAAATCGTACGAAAATCCGCTGTCCAATTATTACAAATAAGTTTATATATAGAAAATAAAATCTTTGAACTCTACATACATGAATATGTTCCTTCCAGAGAGATGGATTTTTGTAAAACGTCGTACGTTACAATAAAAAATGTGATATTACTTTGTAATATTTACATTTATCCTACTTTAAACGTTTCGAAATATCTACAGAAATGGAAGAGCTGTCAAGAGAAAGGAAAGGAAACGGCGCGAAGTACAGAAAGAAGAATGGACAGCAAGAGAGAAAAAGGGAAAGAGAGGAGGGAGGAAAAGCAAGGGGGTGAAGAAGGGTGTAGACTATACGTCGACGTTCACCACACGCTATTCTTCATACTCCATTATCTGTATTCCGCTCTACTCTGCTCCATTATGCCGGCACCGCGTATAAACGACGAGTTGTGCGACGACCAGCCACCCTACCGTCTGTCTAGAGGCCACCTTCGCGAAACACTGATATAAACACCGCTCTTCTGCGGCTGGTTTATGCGCAACACGCGGCAAAATCGCGCCACGAATGAATTAAAGGGTTGATACAGGGGCAAAAAGTACTCCGGTTACTTCTAATCTGCGATACTTTCCAAGATTTTGTTGTTTAATCTTTGTCTGTTCACTCTGTTACCAGATTTTCTTTTCTTTCTTTTGTTACTTGTATATTTATAGATTTTAGCCTTATTATGGTTAAGGAAATATTTTACTTTATTTTATGTAGTCTCTAGTAACAAATAATTTGGAAATATAATAAAAGTTATTATTGATATTAATTTTTGAGTATTTTTAATTATCGCTTTTAATTGTTGAAATTACATTATAGATCTTGGTATGATTAAAACAATATTTATAATATTTATTATATAGTTGTTCTTTGTACGATTTATTTAACATGGAAAAATGATCCTTTTCTGATCCACTGAGTGCAATAAATTATTTTGTAGAATTATTTATATAATTAAAACATTTATGATATACATTGTATAATTGTTACTAACGAGAAGTAGTAAAAATAAAATTTAGAGCCTTTACTGTTTAATGTTCAAGTCATTTTGATTCACTGCGTGCAATAAGTTATTTTATAAAACTATTATTTATACTATATGTCTATTATTTATTACAAATTAATATCAAAATTTAATATAAAAAATTTTCTTTGTTACTTCTTACTATTTAATCTTCGTCCAATATCAAGTATGTCATACAAGTGTAAATCTATTCACTATCATATGTTATTTAATTCCTTCTTTTTATCCATCAAGCCAAACTAACAATAATACAGAAAAATGAATTAATTAAAAAAATTCCACTCTCGAAGGACTATTTTTCCTCCTACTCTCTCTCTCTCTCTTCGTTGTTCATTATTACGAAACAGGTTTAACCATGGAGCCCTTGATGGTCAGAGAAACAAGGGTCAACCATTTCATATCATTAAAAAAATATATAATACGTAAGTATTGCTCGTAATGACGGTTCTGTCAGGTGAAGGGTGGAGCAGGTGTAACGATAGGAATCTCTACAAAGCTTCCCCAAAGTCGACTGTTGCGAAAGGATCCACCGCCAGGTCGGTGTTACGTGTGTATGTAAATTCGCAAAAGATTTAATTAAACGTAGTCCCAGGGTGGAAGATCCTCCGTTGGTTTTGCCTTCTGCCTCCGAGCGACTTTCTCTCTCTCTCTCTCTCTCTCTCTCTCTCTCTCTCTCCCTCTCTCTCTCTCTGTCTTTCTTTCTCTCCGCTAACGTATACGCATTTCGAATTTAGTGTTTCAGAGGTTCGGTTGCTTCGCATCAACGATCCCTGTAATTAACTCGTTCGCGGATTATAAACCATCTCTCTCGACCGAGTGATTTTTTTGAGGGAAAATTTGGGACAGGGGAAATTTTAATAATTCTTGGTATTCTGCTATTTTTTTTTTAACTTTTCTCAATATTTAAATAAATAGAATTTTGTCTTTGCAATTTTTAACAGCTTCCTGTTCCACTGTACGACAATTGAAAAATTATTACTGTACATTTTACTCGGGGGTAAATTCTTATACTAGATTTTTCTTTGATTCAATATTTCAATTCTTTAAATTAGTGTACATATGATGTTGTACGAGTATATACTTACGTATTAATTTAATTTATATATCAATGTAATATATAATCAAAAATCATTGGCTAAAATATGTATGAAAAATATAAAATAGAAAAGTTTGTTAAATAAAAAATATTAATAAAAAGCCTAAGTAAAATTGATATACTTACTGTCATTAGAGCACGTGTATCATTTATTCGAAGACTTTGGATATCTGAAATCGATGCAATTGCTGCTAAAACAAATATTGAGGAAAATTTGAAAAGAAATATATATTGTATATTATTTAAATATTACCAAAGTGAAACGAAAAATTTCTGGAATAAGAAATATCAGTTAATAATTATTTAAGAACTTTGAAAAATTATTGTATTAATTCTAATAAAAGAAAAAACAAAGAAAGACGTTAAAAAATATTTTCAAATACACATCGAAAAATTATGTACCTCTGAGAGAATACTAGGAAAAATTTTCAAATATCTGAAATAAAATAAAAAAATAGAATTACTACACTCAAGAAAGTTTCATCGAACAGAAAATTGGAGTAAAAAAACCAATAAAAATGGACAGGCAGAGACAGCCATGACACTCTCTGGTATTTTGAAATACACTTTTATTTCGACTCGGTCAAAAACTACGATAACAATAGGTTGGTAGATATGTATATCTGAAATCATCGTTCTTCTGAGAGGGAGTGGGGCAGAATGTAGACGTCGTCGGTTTTTTCTCTTCTTTTTGTCAGAAAAAAAGGAATAAATCGTTATCGACGTTCAATCGATTAATCGCGTTATTCAAACATTATAACGCGAGCTTTCGCTTTCCTTTTCCTTTTCTTTCTTTTTTTTTCGTTTCGTTTCATTTCATGGGTGGGGGAATTTCGATGTGAAAGCTACGGAGCGTTTTGTTTCCATTTTCTTATTTTCTTTTCGTTGAATCGCCAGAGGATCTTTCCCCTTCGTCTTACAAGATACGATTCGATTTATTCTAATCGTCTTGACTCGATCGATGCTCGATTCTCGTTCAATGTCTCCGCGACGGAGGTCACCGCGAGAGAATCGCGAATCGACGACATATTGCACACGAGCCCGCAGTCAAATCGATCAAATCGCGTTATACTATGAAAACGTAATCGAATGGAATAAAAGTTACAATGGGGTGCGTTTGATAATTGATCGAGTTCCGGAGAATCTGCCTGTCTTGAGAATGAGAGGAGACACTTTAATCTTTACACACTGAGAGATTTGACCGTGGTCTTAACATTCGATTATGAAATTTATTCTCTTCCACGATAATTTGTATTAAAATGTCGGAAAAATGAGGGAGGATTAAAGAATTCTTCTCTCTTTTAAAAATTATAATTTTTTGAAAATGGTTCAAGAGGTTGAAGAACTTATTTTTTTTTTTACAGCACAGAATGCTAGATTATTGGACCGCAACTTTTATTGATAAACTTCTAAACATTACTTTAATTAATTTTATGATTTCACTATTTTATTTTATTTAAAAAGTGTTCTATAATATTGTTCAGGAAAAAGAGGTTTCTCAGAGAAAATTTATATAGATAGTAATTTGCACATATACTCGGTGTTTTGACATTCTTCAGAAAGAATGGAAAAGATATGTTCAGTATCACAAAGAAATTTCTAATTTTATTAATTCTTCGAAAAGTCAAAGTCAAGAAGTTCTAAAATTTTGGTTAGAGTTATTCAACTCTAAATTCATAAATACGATTTTACATGTATTCTATTAATTAAAAATATTCCGAAATAAAATCCCCCCCTCTAAAAAAGAAAAGAGAAAATGTATCCACTATCAAGCGAAAAATATTTCCAAAATCACAGACAAGACATCCAATTTCTCATTCGCGAGACAAGCAGAGAGAGTGCAGGATAATCCGGAGCTCGACCAAGCATCCGGGAGACACCCGGTACAAGTCGTCACACGTCGCGCGTAGTCCGTCGACAGTGATGAATGACTCGATGAAACGACAATGCTCTATCTATGTACAGTGTTTCTATATACATCATCATCATCGTCACCATCACCGGGGGCCAGCAGTAGCACGTTCACTCACCACACACTCGGTAAATTACAAATCAGCCCTTCTCTGCACGTGTTTTTTCTCTCCGTTTCGTCGAAGACAGATAACCAGCTAAAGGAAGAGAGAGAAAAAAAGAACGAAGAAAAATGCGAAATCGAAGAGTCGAAAAAGAAAGAAAATTTTCTCTTGACAATTACTGGTGAGATCTAAATCAGACGAATCGTTTCGGAATCACCTGGCGATCATGAAATTGTGACTCGATTGTAGATTGAATCAATTATTCACATATTTTACTTTTTGGTGGTTGTTTAAAGCTCGTATCGAAATTTTTTAGATAAAAAATATACATTAAAATTAATTTAAGATGAAATATCACGTACTTATGTTATACTTGACCATTGATGTGATTGTTTCGTGGGTAATATCTGTTCACGCCAATTTAGTTAGTGAGTAGTATGAATATTATCACGCGTTTCTATAATAATGATTTACCTACCGAAAGCTTGTTAATTCTTCTTGTTGTTGATTAAGATTTATTCGAAACTAAAGGTAAGGCAGTATAAAAATTATATGTTATAAGAACTTCAATATTACGGGGATTTAAAATTCATTTGAAATTAAAAATTGAAACAGTAATGTTAAAAGATCACACTAAAAAAAATTATTACAGAACGAACCTAGTGAATACTCCTTCGAATTTTCATTAAAAAATTTGAGTTACACTCGTCGAGTAGTGAATTCTTCAAGTGACAATTTAAAAATCAAAATTTCACGAAATTTCTTTCTTTCCTTCCAATGTTTCCAAATCGATTCCCGGTCAATATTGTATTTTCAGAAACTTCCGAATTTTCAATTTTTCCCCAATATACTAAATCCAAAAGCCAATATATACATTCTCATAATTTTAAAAATCGTACAAATCTCATTCTCATTCTCGAAGTTTTGGACTACCGTGCCACGCCAATTATCAATGGCCAAATAATTCACTCAAATTGTTCAACTTCAACGACAGGCAAACAGATAAAATATTTATTCACAACCACCTACGAGTTACAACCATCGATCTCGCAATCGTGATCGATGTGATCTCAAAACGAGCCGCCCGATTCAAGCCCGAACCCTCTTTTTGTCATCTCGAACACGCACCGGATTGTTCTTTTTTTTTTTTTCTTTTCTTCTTCTCATTTTTAATGCCCACTAATAGCTAGTTTCGTTCGCCTGTTCGAGCCAACACCTCGTCCACCTTCTCATCCACCGATCACAGTTTGCTCATATCTGAATGTTACACGCCCGCGCGCGGAGTAACGCGGACGGAGGGAAATGTCCTAAAATCATCAGAATCGCGAGAACGTGTCACCGTCCGGCTCTCAGTAAGGCCTCCAGACGTTGTTGTCCGGCCTGACTTCCTCCTGCCTCACGCTGCAGCTGTCCGCCACTGCTCTCTGCTCGGGGCTTTCCGAATTCTGAAATTGATTCCCGTACAGCTGGGAATAGAGGATGCTGGGCAGCACGCCAGGCGTTGGGAAGTAGTTGCCGTAATTTTGACCGAATCCTTGCTCCTCGTGCACTGGGCTCTCCGTGGTGCTCGAGTCGGTGGACAGGGACCTGGGAGAGACGTAGTCCTGGTACCTTTGACTCGGTGTCGCCGACATTAGACTGCTCAGAGGGTCCAGCGGGTCCGATTGTCCCGGCGTCGTCGAATCCGGCACCACTGTTTTGTTTTTTTTTTTTTTTTATTTTGCGATGGAAAAGAGAAATCGTCTTCTGTCGTGTTCAATTCTTTCGGTTGAAGGATAATTATATTTATATTATTTGTAGTGTGAGAAACGTGTGCTCTATACTAGAGTTCCAAGTTTTGGTACAACCGCGGAACTGGAATTTTGGAAATAATTGGAAGTGATTCAGCAGTGATTAAAGGATAGATAGTTTAATTCTTTCGATTGAGGGAGAACTATATTGTTTGGAGTTTGAGAGACCTGTGCTTTACTAAAGTCTCTCTAGTACGACTGTGGAACTGGAATTTTAGAAATAATTGGAAGATTTAGCAGTGATTAAAGGACAGATAGTTTAATTCTTTCGATTGAGGGAGAACTATATTGTTTGGAGTTTGAGAGACTTGTGCTTTACTAAAGTCTCTCTAGTACGACTGTGGAACTGGAATTTTAGAAATAATTGGAAGATTTAGCAGTGATTAAAGGACAGATAGTTTAATTCTTTCGATTGAGAGAGAACTATATTATTTGGAGTTTGAGGGACTTGTGCTTTATACCAGAGTTCAAAGTTTCATTGGTACAACCACGGAATTGGAATTTTGGACATAACTGGAACGTTCATGCAGTGATTAAAGGATAGACTAAATGTGAGATTTTAGTTTGGAAAGAGAAAATTGTAATTTCATATGGTGAAAGTGGAATTTTAATGAGTCAAGTTATTTTAGGAATTTTGAAATAATCAGAGCGCTTGGTGTAAATTAAGGTTGATATTAAAAATAGACAGAGTGAAACAATGTTAATTAATAAAAAACTAAATAAGTTGGTGTAAGTTCTTGTACGAAAATAATTGTTGTATGAATCGTAAAGTTCTATTATTCAAATGATTATTCTTAATTAAAAATATATCTTCCTTTAAATATTTCCATTAACCCTCAAACATCTCAATAGTCCATATTAAAATTATTCGAAATTAAATCACGAAATGAACAAAAATTTTTTAACAAGATCAACACACTCGAATATCTAGAACTGTAACATATAATATGCAAAATACAATAAATATTACTCCAAACTGTCCCATATTTGCCACAATAACTTTAAAAAAAAGTACTCTCAAGCCGAATAAAAATTATCCAAAACTAGATTCATCATTGTAACGAAATTTAAAAAACCTTCTCACACGACGAACTGAAAATATTCTCCCGTAATTAAAAAAAATACAAGACATGCCCAATATTTCTCGAAACTGTTTCATATTTGCCACAAGAGAACGCCACAAAATCCGCTCCGCTCGTATTAAAATTCCTCGAAATTTGACCGATTGTAATAACGAAGTTAATGAAAATCCTCCGACAAAATCGACACTGTCGTACAGACGGAACCTTCCTCTGTGAGACAATTTTCGTTTCGCGCCGATCGGACTTGCGGTTGCCGAGATATCGTCGTCGGAAGCGGAGGATAATTTTTAATATCTCGCTATGTCTGTCCTTGTCGCGCGCTCGGCCCACTCGCTCGCACCGCGTGCACTGACCTATCGCAAGCCCGCGCCATGTGCGCTGGTCAGTGCAGACGCCGAGTCAGCAGTTTTTTTACTATTTACTATCGCGCGTACGCATTTCCAGGAAAAAATGTAGGTCACAGCAGTGACTGGCCCATTCATCCTCCCCCCACGTACGCGTTATAGCCAAGCAGCTTTCGGGCCCTGATATCTCGGCAACCGTTTGAGATATCGCAGTGAAACAAAATGCATTTTACAGATCGTGTTTTGCACTATGTTTCGAGTGGTTTCAGGTTCGATGTTTTGAGGTGTAACAGGAAATATTAATTTTTCATTACGAGTTGAAATTGAGGGTTAATAGTGAGTTAGATCTGGGGAAGACTTTTTCTGGGATAGTTTTCTTCTTTTTGTGGGGAAAATGGGCAAAGTAAGTAGAGTTTATGCATCCTTGCGATATTTAAAATTTCAGAAATTAATGTAACAAATTGTAAAATGCAATCTGCTTATTAAATATTACATATCATCTATTAATAATTATGAAAAAAAGAATACGTAAGTATTTTCAACTTTCAGACCTGCAAAGATGCGTTTTCGAATTTCGTTAATTTCCGTCTGTTCTGTTTAGAGTTATTGGACTGCATGATGATGCTAATTTCATTGATCATCGTTGATTACGAAACGCTACGATATCGATTACAAATGCACTAGTACTTGTGATAAACACTGGACTATCATCTGTTAATACAATAGTTTAACAGGAAGTACGGGTGCATTTGGTTTACGTATGTTTGGGCTCTGTAAATGATATATCTAAATCTACCAAATCTATATAACTAGAATATACTATAAATAACTGTAAAATTTGTTTTTAAAAGTACTTTAGAAAATCATAATTTCAATGAAAAGAACAAATGAACTGCCATGAAACTTTCAATACTATTTTATTTGATTATTTGCTCATAGGAGACTTTCTCATGATTTTGTTAAAAAAAAGTAACAGAATATTTTCTTTAGGACTAAAGATTCGTAGTAATTCAGTTTGTCTACTCTTACGTATTTGACAATTATTATTGACACGAAATTATCAAAATTATCATAATAAGAAAAGCAATTTTAAGTGTCAAAAATACCAATTATAGTATCTTCAAATAATAGACGATTATAAAATTTATGTTGGATTATTAAAATTTAGATAATCCGAGTCCACATTCTTCCCGATGAAGATTAATAATAAAATGCAACTGAAAATTCAAAAAATTAAGGAATTTAATTCTAAAATCTTCCCCCTGTGACTAGAAGTTAAACGATTGTGAACAAACTGTTTGATCAAATTTTGTACTTTACATTGCCCAATTGACTTGACTAAAATTCTCGGAAGGTTCCGAACAAAATTGAAATAAACTGAAGATTAATTCTAAAATTAAATAATTCAATTTTAAACCAGTATATACTGTCTCTCCTATAAGCTTCGTGGAGTATAGCGATCGTAAAGGAAAAGTTCGACGACAAAATGACGCGTCGAAGGAATAAACGGATCGCGCGAGAGACTGGCATCTGACGAAAGAAGGGAAAGACATAGTTTACGACTAAGTGTGTGAACGACTTACGAGATGAGACCGCTGAGAAGGCATCCTGCTGCGCGGTGGATGCTGCACCGGTGCCGGAAGTGACAGTGGATCCCGCCGTCGAGTCGGGCGCCGCCGGCGTGTTCATGGACGCGGCGCCCGCGAAAGATGCCAACGACGAGGACGACGGAGGTGGTGGCGGAGGTGGCGGCGGTGGGGGTGGAAAGGACGCTTGTGCGGCGCACGACGACAAAGGGCCAGGAAGATAACCAGCGTAGCCGGCCGTGCTTCCGTATCCCCACGAATTGCTTGCAGACAGACCGAACTGGGACATGTCTGAGGAGACAGTGATCGTTTCACAAATGCCACTTTCTTGTTAAATCTAGCCCGCTCGACTGTCAACAAACGATCTATTAGTTGATCGTTTCAAGGTTCGCGGAAACGCGTTTTGCGAAATATTTTGGTATTTCGTGAACACTGGAGAGAGCGAGACTCGAGCGTCGAGTTTGAGAGGAATATAAGAATATATAACAGAGACGTTACAAGAATATTATTCATGAATATTTCGTTATTTGAAACACTTTGGTACATATTTCGCCGAAACAACCGAAGTGAAATGCCTGGTCATTTTTGCTTGAAACGAATTGAAAAATACGTTGAGAAGTTTCAAGAATTTTTGTGAGAATATATTATGCAAAACATTTGGACGTTTTCTTAATTGACTATCATCGTTGTATGTGTGCAGGCTTGAAACAAATTTAGAATTATGAAATAATTTACTGTTTCGTTAATTGGTGTAAGACTTGATTATTACAATTGTATTGATTAATCTTTGAGGAAATATAAATAATTACAAGAATTTTTATGAATATATATCGTGTTTGTTTGAAACATTTTGATATTTCTTTAACATTGCAACGAGACACGATTGTTACGTTTATATCAATCAAATTTGAAACAAATTAATTGTATTTTGTGAAATATCTACTTTACAAAACTTCCTTTTCAAGTCTTTTCAGAAGTCAAGAGTTGAAGAATAAAATAATACGTATACTTGAAACTGGCGAGTATTTGTACTTTTGTATCTACGTATACTTTGCATTTAATCAAGAATTTTCGTTGAGTACTTATTACAGAAAATTTTAAGGTCCACGATCGCAAAGGACAAAGTTCATTATCTTAGTTTAGCAATAGAAAGTAGAAATTGAATAAAGAGAAGGGTGTTTAGCACAGCAAGAAAAAAAAAAAAAATAGTGAAAGCAACCAGCAGACGAAGATCTGTAAAAGCAAAAAGCCATGAACGAACACTTTCTCCAATTAGTCTAAAGTGTCGTTTTCATCGACAAACATAACGCAAAAGCCGACGAAAAAGCGAAGCGCAAAGGCGATTGAAGCAAAGCTTAAATAGCTTCCAGAGCAAACTCATTCGACAGTGACTTAAGCAACAGAAAGCCACAGACTCGCATCGATGTAGCGAGGATGATTTTACGGTGCTTAATTCTCAAAATGAAAAGACAAATTGATCGTCTTGACCATTTTAGTGGTTCCATAGTCGATACAACTTTCAACATTTGTTCAACAATTCATTCTGTTAACTGTTAATTAAATTAGAATACCAAATGAAATGTTAACGTGATAACAAATAAAATACATTTTCATCGTTATTCAATAGTATTTTCAGTTATTAAATTCTGAATGATTTTTATATATTTTATTTATCATTACTGCCATAAAATTTACAAACCTTCCGCTTATCTAATTTCAAACCAATATAGATACCATTATTTGAACACTTGTCCTTCCTATTTTTCCTTATTTATTTAATATTCCTTCAATGATCATCTCGTTCGTTTCAAACGTTGAAAAGCGAAATTAACTTCTCCCTGCCAATTTGCTACGACGATCAAATCAAACTCCACTCAAGAGCAAAAGATTCGACAATTTTCCTCAGCGAGTACCTGACACGAGACACGACTGTAACAAATACCGTAGCCGTCAATAAGTGGACGAAGGGTTGGCGGTCGATAAATATCAAAAGAAAAAGGAAACAGAAATCGCACTGATGGAACGAGAGAAAGATTATTCGACTCGATCCGAATCACTTTGCCAGGGAATGTACCTACCAAGGGGATCGGCGAAGCTTCTTTTACGCCCCCTCAGGGCGTTGGATTTATTTTTGCGGCATATAGGCAGCATCCCCGATAGATTTTCCAATGAGTTACGAGGCTCGAAGGCGGAAAGCTGCGGGGAGCAGCGAGGGGTGTGTGTGTGTGTGTGTGTGTGTGTAGCAGCAGCAGCCGGACAGAAAACGGAGGGAGGGGGGGAGAAGCGCGCGCGTTCGAGATCAAAGGGTTGGTCATCCCCCGCGCGCGTACCACCGGCCAACTCAAATAACCGAGAGCTCGGACCAGCGCCACTGGGCCGTCGTTGACGAGAGGCTAACCCTAAATAGCGCGAGCCAGCATGCTTTCACGTCGTTCGTTCAATTTTCACTCCCCAACGTCGGCGAAGGGGAGGGAGGGACGGAGAAGCTGCTTCACCCCTTGGCAGGGCTGATATCGCGACGTAAGGAGAAACCTTTGATTAACGCCAGGCTAATTTCACAGTCTCGATTTTGGCGGCGATTCTGTCTATTGTCCTCGGTTCCCTTCAAATTGAGATTAAATTGAGACGGGTGGAATCGGTCGATTCTAGTCTCGATCGAACGTTGGTTCTTGGTTTTTGACATTTCTTTGCGACGATATCACAGAATTCTTCGATAACACAGAAAGTTTTGAAACAAGTTCACTGCTGCGAGAAATAGTTTATTCGACGAATATTTATTCTTTGTTGTTACTTTTCTGGATCGAACACAAGTACTCGAATAAGTATTTAAGAACATTGGAATCTTTCAAGTATCGAAACATCGCTGCGGAATGCATGAGAGGCTATAATCAGAGGTTTCGATTGAATTTTCGATTTCAAAGGTAATACGAAGAATTTAATAATTTTCAACTGTCTCGTAAATGTTCACGTGAGTAAAGCACTATAAGATTTAGATAAGCTCGTAAGAGAGCTAATGAAATCTATCCACAACACGATTAATTTTCAGATTTGATTCTGAACTGTTCTTGTACGAGCATATATTCTTGTACGTGCGATTGTTCATAAAACAAGTTATTAATTGTACACAAAATCTTCTGTCAAAAAGACAATCATCTTAAACTTTCGCTCTTTACCGCGATTCACTTAAAAAATTAAAAATTAATTTTAAATCTATAAATTCTACAAATAAATGTAGTAAGTCTAATTAAAAATTAAAACTGGGGTATTTATTCTTCTCTTTGGAGAAAGACACGCACACGCACGAAAAATTCATTTTTATTGCGGAACTTTCAATCATCTGAATAGAACGTGCCACGAATCGCCAAAAAATCTGCTGGTCCGGTGTATGGAACAGCGTTAATCGAACGTTACCGGCGTGTGTCACGAAATTCACGGCAAAGATGTCGGAGGAGCGAGAGCGACGATGGATCGAGAAAACGCCGACGCGAATTATCGATGTCCGATGTGGGGAAAAAAGTTAATAAAGGAAATACCCGGCGTGCTTGATACTTTATCGAGGAATTTCGCCGCGTTATCGCTTTTGGATCCGAAGGCGACTCATTAAATCCAATCTCTTTCTACCTTCCTCGAATATTTCCTGCGTGATTCTTCGATTTCTTCTTCCGCGGCGAGATAATAATCAATTCGCTGTAAAAGAAAAAAATCGCCTACTCTTGGTATCGCTTCATTTATGAAACTGAATTTGGTATCAATCGATGGCTTGCGGTGAGACATCGACAGTCGCAGAAAATTTTCGAGTCGTGTCGATAATTAATTTCCAAGGTGCAAGAGGTCAAAGAACCTCATACAAACGCTGTCTAGAGGACATTTATATTTTACGTATAATTATATTATACGAATAATTTGAATTCAATACAGACGTAAAAATTCAAACAGTAATTCGATAATTATCATATTCACGATATGGTAGAATTAAATAATATGTGCAGAATTATAAAATGTGGACATATAAATATTAATTTAGAATCGCGTGATGCGGACACATTACAAATATTAATTTAGAATTATCAATTAATCTAAAATTCGTCGTAACAGTCAGAAAAACTCGCAGGAATAATCTCTCCGCTCGTCATGAGGTCGCTCATCCAAAATTCATACATCGAGGTATATGTGAGTGTCTATTGATCATAACTTGTCATTTAGTACCAAATTCATTTACAAAGTCGAAAGAGCATAAAAGACAGATCAAAAGAAACGCCTCATTTCCCGGCCATCTTTTGATAAATCGATCGAATTCCAAAGAAATCTTACTTTATTCCCTGCAGGATTATGATTTAGCATGAACGTGAGTTTCTCTGAGAGAAAGGGATGAAACAGTAAGCAGCGATGTTTCACGTAGAAATTCGCGAATCCGGCTGCAAACGTAGAGAGAACACGCGACGGAGGGGGGAGGGGGGAGGTTAGCAGGGCAAAACGACGAGAACCATCCAACGTCGAGGCAGCCACCGCTCCCGTGGCAACCCCTTTAATATAATATTTAATCTAGCTTTGAACAGGCTTGTGGTTTCCGCCTCTAGAGTCGAGAAGCTAGTTCTCGCAAGCCTAAATCTTTCTCTCTCCATGTATATATTCGAGAGCAGGAAGGCAACGTCTGCTTGGAAATATTCCCAGCTTGCAGACAGCCGCTTCTTACGATATTTGTCGATGAAATCTCGTTTCTCGTGATCGAATATTCCAGGGTGTCATGTAACTGGTGAAAGAATGATTTCATTGTACGTGGAGAGGTAAGTGGAAGCGAGAGAATGATATTTTTGAAGATTCATGGACGTCGTCTTTCTGAGAAAAGGAAATTTGTTGAGCATACTTGAATAGTTACTCTGTGTGAAAAATAAAAGAAATTTTCCATTTGAAGTCTGGTTGGATAAAAAATCAGGTTTTGAACATGTTCAGTTAAGGATTAGTGTGTTAGTTAGGTAATTCGAAATATGAACGATAGTCAATTAGGAATTGGTACACGTAATTATTTAAATATTTCACAATAAATTTGATTTTCTGGGTAATTTTAAATGAGAAAATATTGATCTTTCTTCTTGACTTACGTTTCAATCATCCTTAGTTACAGGACACCCTGTATTGAGTAATCAAGCGAAGATGTTTGTAATTTCTTGATTTTTCTAAACATGCTACATACATTTAATCCATTAAGCCTGAATAAATGACTAGACTGTGGATGTTTAATATTCTTGGAAAATAAAACTAGATACAAAATACACGTAATATGCAAAAACATA